CCCCCGCCAGATCCATTTTTGAGGGTAGCATTGTGAAGACCCACCCCCTGCGAATTAGAATGCTCCCTGATAGACTGACTGACAGGTGCTTGGATGCTCACACTGGAGATTCTGGTTGTCCTCACCCTTTCATCGTGTCTGCAGTGAAAAACATATTTGATAAATTATATTAATAAATGCTCAACAAGCCACCTCCACACAGCCTTGAGGCTCACCTAGCACCTCCCCCATTCATTCATTCTGTGTTCTGTATTCTTTCCAGGTCAGTTATGCCTCCTCCAGCAGACTCCTCAGCAATAAGAATCAGTTCAAGTCCTTCCTCCGTACCATCCCCAATGATGAGCACCAGGCCACCGCCATGGCAGACATTATTGAGTATTTCCGCTGGAACTGGGTGGGCACCATTGCAGCTGATGACGACTATGGCCGGCCAGGGATTGAGAAATTCCGAGAAGAAGCTGAGGAGAGGGACATCTGCATTGACTTCAGTGAACTCATCTCCCAGTACTCTGACGAGGAAGAGATCCAGCAGGTAGTAGAGGTAATCCAGAATTCCACAGCCAAAGTCATCGTCGTCTTCTCCAGCGGCCCAGACCTTGAACCCCTCATCAAGGAGATCGTTCGGCGCAATATCACGGGCAGGATCTGGCTGGCCAGTGAGGCTTGGGCCAGCTCTTCTCTGATCGCCATGCCGGAGTACTTCCATGTGGTCGGAGGCACTATTGGATTTGGTCTGAAGGCCGGGCAGATCCCAGGCTTCCGGGAATTCTTGCAGAAAGTCCATCCCAGGAAATCTGCCCACAATGGTTTTGCCAAGGAGTTTTGGGAAGAAACATTTAACTGCCACCTCCAAGAAGGTGCTAAAGGACCCTTACCCATGGACACCTTCCTGAGAGGTCAAGAAGAAGGTGGTGGCAGGATAAGCAACAGCTCCACTGTCTTCCGACCTCTCTGTACAGGGGATGAGAACATCAGCAGTGTTGAGACCCCTTACATGGATTATACACACTTACGGATATCCTACAATGTCTACTTAGCCGTCTACTCCATTGCTCATGCCCTGCAAGATATATACACGTGCTTACCTGGGAGAGGGCTCTTCACCAACGGTTCCTGTGCCGACATCAAGAAGGTGGAGGCTTGGCAGGTACATCCTTCACTTAGATAGCAGTTCTCTGTGTAATAAAGCAGAGTTTGGCCGATCTGGGCAAAACGGATAAAATGGTTACCGCAAAACGACAAGATCCTAATAAGGTCACTAAATGTAGCTTTGAATTCAAATTGTCTTTACAAATGTCTGAGCAACTGACTCTGAACAATTGATAGTAATTTAATTTGATTATCTGTTTAAAGTTTTGGCTCAATTGTCCTTTAGCCTAGTGGTTCAGAATACTTACAGTATTGGCCCCTAAAAGGTTTTTAATATCCTGGGATAGATTTAGTACTGAGGGGAGGATGTTTTTCTAATGCTTTAATTTAAAGATACTGCTGTGAGTAACAAGTATTTTTTTAGTATTTATTACATTTCATATGCTAACAGACATAAAACTAGTGTGACTGTGTATAGTCACCACTTTGCCATTATATTACTCAAAATATCATGTACTAAACCACCCAATAGACCATTTAAGCTTAGGACACAAGCAAGTCAAAGGTACAGATAAAGCTTGCCTTAAAAGTATTTGATATCGGACATTTCAAAAAGAAGCACTGAAATAGTTACAATAGAAAATAATCAGAACTTAAGTGGAATTCCAACACTCATTCTATGGTTTAGTCTAGTTTTGTATTTTTAAATTACATGTAGGAGAGACATCATAATCTTTTCATTTCATAGAACTTATGAAGATAAGTCTGACCTGACTTATGTCTTACATAACCATTCATGTCTTGCATATGTATCTTGATTTTTATTTTTTAAGTATAGTTGGTATACAATATTATATTAGTTTCAAGTGTACGATATAGTGATTCAACATGTATATACCTTACAATGTGATTACCACACTAAGTCTAGTAATAATCTGTCCCCGTGTAACCTTGCCACAATATTATTGACCATATTCCCCTTCACCTTTTTACCCATCCCTTCATTTCGCCTCCCCTCTGATAACCATCATTTTGATCTGTTTCTAGGAGTCCATTTCTGTTGTGTTTTCTTTGATTGGTTGTTTTTGTGTGTTTTTTAGATTCCACATATAAGTGAAACCATACTAATTTGTCCTTTTCTGCCTGACTCGTTTCACTTTGCATAATGCCCTCTAGGTCCATCCATGTTGTTGCAAATGCCAAGATTTCATTCTTTTTTATTGCTGAGTAATATTCCATTATATGTAATTATATACCACATCTTTATTTGAAGAAAACAAAAACAGTAATTCAAAACGATATATGCACTTCTAAGCTCATTGTAGCATTATTTACAATAGCCAAGATATGAAAGCAACCTGGGTGTCTATTGATAGATAAACGTACCTTGATTTTTAGATGGTGAACCTGCAACCCAAATACATGCCCTTGACCATGAATCAAACCTGAGACCCTTTGGTGCTCGGGCCAACATACTAACCACTTAGCAATACCAGCCAGGACCACCCTAGGTTCTTTTGAAGATGAAATGAGATGATGTATATGAAAGCAATTTGTAAATTTTTGAACTCTAAACAGATGGTGGTTATTATAGTAGGATTTCAATATGTCTCTAATTAATCAATTAGAAAAAAAAACACTAAAGTAGCTTTGTACACAGAACCAAATCACCATAGACCCTTTGGAAAAGATACCGAGACACAAAGAATGTACAACCTGTGTCACTCATGTTAGAGATTCTCGGGAGATAAGGAGTGACTGTCGAGGCTTGGCAGAATGAGTCAGGACACACACAATTTTAGTTGTCCTTGTGTGGGAAATACCTTACTCAGACATCATTGTTGGCTGAAGTTTCTAATCTCTTTGAGGTCCTTAAAGTTTCCTTCCTTGCACTGCACACACCCCCATCCCCAACCCTGTCAAAGAAAGAGGAGCTTTAATGAAGGTCAAAGACCAAAAAGAATTCAAAAGCCATGACTCTAAGTTATGGAGTTTTAAGAAGAAGAAATAAATAGACAATCTTTGAGTAAATGTCTTTTCTCTCTTCCCTTGCACATCCCCTGGAAAGAGGAACCCAGCTTCTGAGAGCCTATAGAGCCAGGGTGGGGTTGAAGGGGAAAACACTTCCAGTGGGTACTTTGACATTCTGCTCTTCAGTAAATCCTCTCCCAGGCAAGGCTATAAGACCCAGATGGTCAAGATCAAAGCTTGGACATACGAGAAAAAAGCCAAGAATCAGGCTATAGTCATAATATAAACTTTTAGTTGCATGCTATAGAAAATACAAACCAACGGGCTTAAACAAAAGAAGGAACATTATTAGTAGCTCATAATACTGAACATCTCAGAAGTACAACTAGATGCTTTCATCTCCATGTCTCTCTCTCTTAATCCTCAGGATTAACAACAGTTTCAGGTTCATAAATCCTTGCTGCTAGGCTCTCCTTACTTCCCAGGATCTCCTGTAAAAGTCCCAAAATCCACATTGATTGACCAGTCCAGGGCCACATGTTCATCCCTTAAGCTAGACTTCGTAGACTGAGAGTAAGGCAGGGAATAGATCCCCCATGCTAAATCAGGATGCTATTACGAAAAGAAGGTGGAAAGAGAAGGAAAACAGCAAAATAAAGTGTTCTCTACACAGACACCTCAGCTGACCCTAGTACAGGTAAAGATGTGGCCTCCTGACTCACATACAGTCTGGTGTAATTCATCCAGGAGAGGAAACAGGAAAATAAGGCCAGAGCTCTAAAGAGGAATAACATGTGGGCACCGGCCAAAATGTCCTGTGCTGTAAGTCTCCTTTGAACCTCAGGATTCCAGGCAGTTGGGTGGGTGTTCTGGAATTTAAGACCTTGGCCATGTGTCTATCAGAAGATGGACCAGCAATGATTCACACTCATTATTAAGACCTACATGGAAACTTATCACCCATACAATCTATACAATCTAATCCAAGAATCTCAACCTGGAATTCCACCTTCTCTCAATTGTCTTATAAGCCAAGCATTCTGGCACCTTCCCACAAAACACTAATTACTTTTGGCATAGAATTTTTGCTTACATACTATCCCACACCCAAAGAGCCATCGTTGTTGTCTATCATTGTCCACAGCAAACTTTTAACTTTTTCAAAACTTACTGTCTCCTGAAAGTCTTTTCAAGTCATACCGCCCCCCCTAACACACACACACACACACACACACACACTTTCTGGCCATTCTTTCTTCCTCATTTTTGCCATTTATACACCCAGCTTAAGCTTCCAAAGCTCTTCAATTGACTGAAATAGTAAGGTCAATTATAATTTTCTTTTGTTGACCATTTCTTCCCCTCCCCCCCTAAAATTTATCAACCAACTAACTCATATGCCTCAAAAGTAATACTAACAGGTAATTTATGAGCATACAACACACAATTACCTCCTGACCTCCACGGAGACACCCCCCGCCCTGACCCTCCTCACGCTGCTCATCAGCTCTCTCTTCACTGTGATTTCCCCCATTATACTACTCTAAGCTTCATGAGGGCAGGAACCACGTTTGTATTCAGCACTGTGTCCAGAACACCTGGCACCTGAATATGTGTAGAATAACGGAATGAATGAGTAGCAGTCTAGTTGATTTGACCTGACAACACTACTTAGAGTCCTTTGCAGAGAATTATTCAACCCTGAATCAAGCACTGGCCAGTGTATTCTAGGCTGTGATTGGAAGAACCTGGGTCACACGCCCAACAATCAAGTTTGAATGGGGCATCATGTAAGTAAGTATGGAACTGCCTTCTTCCTCTGTCAGGATGATTGTGCACAAGGCATACTTCCTACTTTCCTCCACCATACACAAACCACTCAGTAGACCCCCAAAAAAACAGGCATGCATGATGACAGTACCATGGTAATAACAGAAGCCAAACAAAACTGATCTTTCCAGGAATTGCTGGTACTATTGGGGGTTGGGAGGGGGGAAGTGAATTGAGGTGAGAGCCAAAGGAGATGCAAAAGATGGAGCCAGAAAATAAGGCTGAGGTTAGAGAAGGGAATTGGTCAAGGATTTTCCCTATGCTCTTAGCACAGGAAGTGGGCAAGAAGCAATAGGATCCTTATCTGTGTGAACTCTCCCTCTTAGTCCATGTGAATGGGGTGCTTTGTGCATCTTGTGCCACTGTCCCTCTGTGCTCGGAAGTGATGCCAAGAGTAGAGGGGGAGGGTAAATAATTGATTATTAATGGACACGGTGAAATTTTTAACTCGAAAAATTCAACACTCATATGATTTTATTTATATGCCTGCTGTGAGGATGAAACACTATTCAGGTTAGGATTTGAAGTAAAGAAGAAAATAAAAGATGTCATTCAAGTTGGACCTTGAAGGCTGGATAGGATTTGTGGAAAGGATCTGTTCCTTGGAGGAAATGTAAACTGCAAAGGCAAACACACCCAACAATGAAGGTGAATCACAAAAACATTATGTTACGTGGAAAATATTCAGACCAAAAAAAAAAGAATACATAACTGTGTGTTCTATTTATACAATATTCTACCTCTAATGATAGAAAACAGATCAGCGGTGGCCAAGGGCTGCAAGTGAAGGTGGGATTAATTTGGAAGGGACATCGCGGTACCTTTGGGAGTGATGGTAGTGGCAGTTACACAGACATATACATTTGCCAAAACTCAGAACTATACTCTTAAAATTGGTGTATTTTATTCTATGTAAGTTGATTAAGAATACAAAACAATGGAAAGTCCCATGGGTGGGAAAGTACAGACCTTTCATGGAGATCTGGATGTCACTCAGTTTCTACCCTTTTCCTATTATGGCCTCTTGTGTTGCCATAGTATTATACATGTCTCCACCTCCCACTTTTAAAATATGTCCATTTTCTCAACCTTAGTTTTATACTAGTTAACCTATTGTAACTAGGGATAGACAACTTAATAGATACTGTCTACTCTGACTCCTACACCTGCGTAGTAGTATATAGTGAAATGGTTAAGAGTTTGGACTCTAGAACCAGACTAACTGGATTTAAATCCCAGTTGCTACCTAATAACTTTATGACCTTTGGAAGTCATTTAATGTGTCTCAATTTCTTCACCTGAAAAATGGAGATATGAAACATAAATTTATTATGAGGATAACATTAGTTCATATGTATAAGGTACTTAGGATACTGCATATATATATAGTAAGTGTTCAGTAAATATTAGTCTTGAGTATTATTCTTTTGTAGGTGAGGAAAGTAAGACTCAGAAAAGCCAAAATGACTTGCCCAAAGTCATATTTAGCCAATAATAAGAAAGGCAACATCTGCCACAGGCATTCTTTCTCTGATGAGGCCAAGGTAACTGTTAAAAGAACCATGTACCCAGATGGTTCTCTGGGCACATGTTTTCTAGCTCCTGAGAGCCTAGCCAGGTCAACTGATGGTTTCATAGTAAAGATACTGATCCATAGCCCTTAATCTTCTGGTGTACTGCTGTCATCATTCTTATATGGAACAGTTGTTTTTTTGTACTTACCCTTCTCTTCAGGTAATGCTCAGCTGTTACTAAAACATTATTGCACTACTAGAGGCCCAGTGCACGAAATTCTTGCACTCATTGGGGAGAGTCCCCTCAGACCGGCCTGTGCCCTCTCGCAGTCCAGGAGCCCTCAGGGGATGTCCGACTGCCAGCTTAGGCCTGCTGCACTTGCCAGCCGTGAGCCCAGCTTCTGGCTCCTGCATTGAGCATCTGCCCCCTGGTGGTCAGTGTGTGTCATAGTGACCGGTTGTTCTGCCGTTCAGTCAATTTGCATATTAGCCTTTTATTATATAGGACTAGAGGCCCCATGCACAAAAATTTGTGCACTGGCGGGGGAGGAGGGGTGGGGGTTGTCCCTCAGCCCCACTTGTGCCCTC